AATGAATGAATAAAGTTTGTTTTTTCCTCTGCTGGCTTTCATGTTTCACATGGTTAACGAAGAAATTATGTAAAATCTCTTGGTAAAGCAGCTGTTAAATATTTTAGCATTTTAGTTTTTCCTTTCACACAAACCTATTGGTGCTGTATGTTTGGCCCTGTGCAGCTCAGCTTCAGACAGAATGCTAGCAAATTTAGCTTAAATACTGGAGGTTAGAGGAGTCAGCAGCTTTGGTGTTGGTTGTTAGCATTTGCTTATTTGTTTTCTGGTTACTTTTACTGTACTTTTCTGTTGGTAGAGTATAAGCAGCTATGTGAAGGCAAGATTTTGTATTCCACAGCAAACAGGTCATTGTGCCCTTTGAAATTACTTATTCAGTGAAGTTTGTATAGTGCTTTTAACAATCAAGGTTGACACAAAGCAACTTTACAAGAATTGGATAGGAAGCCAGATTTAGGAACTGAGAGGTTCTTGTGAAAGGATACCCTAAAGATAAAGAACCTGCTGATTTTCTGAAGTAGTGTTTCTTGCCAAGGATATGATCCCATCGAGGCCCGTCACACGTATGGCAAATGCACTGCATACGTTTCAAAATACTTAGTGTTGGTTGAAAATGATTGTGGTGTTGGTTGAATATGTTGCACAAAGACATTTTGTTTGGCTATGGTAAACGATGTGGGTTACATGCTATTGGGAATGTGATTGGGAAGTTAATGTCGATGTTACAGATTTGGATGAATGCTTCTACCAAACCAAAACCATCACTTTGTTTATGCTAGGGATGGACTATATGATGCTATAGTTGTCATGATAGTCTGTTCTGAGAATATTGTGAGTAATGTCAGTAGTTAAACAATGGTTTGCTGAATGTTACGTTATATGTTGTTTAGGGTTATTGCCTGATTGTCTGGAGATCATGAGTCTGAAAGCCTGTACTCTTTTTGAGCTCTTTTTTTAAATGTGGCATTGTGTCCATTACAATGTATCAAACCTTAGGAAAACGAATAATTGTGATAATAATCGAGAAGTTTGTCCATATATTGCCCATTTCTAGTCAAAATGGTATACTTGCATTCTGTTATGGAAAGGCCTCTTTTCATAAAGCAACTCTTGAGCATCATCTAGATTCACTTCTTTTATTGCTTACTGTCTGTTGACACAAGAGACACAAACGTGGATGCCTTAATCCAAAAAGTTGGTGTGTGTGAATACCAATTTAGAAACTTCAAGATGGAGAGGAGGATTGTCATAGATATGACCTTCCGGCTGTGTTGAGCAGTGGTTTATTCTTTGCCTTTTGACCACTTTGTGACTAAGAGCTGCTTGATTCCTATTAAAATATTGATGTTTGAAGGTAAGTTTTGGGGTTGTTGACCTAAAATGTGCTTTTCAGCACCTCTTATATCTCTGATCCTGTGTTGAACTGCAAGTAAATTCAAAAAGTTGCATATATAGAGTTTATGAGAAAGCTGTTATTGTCAGCGGACTTTAATGAGATTGATTTACTCAGCTGTTTGACTTTCTTAATAGTAGCAGTTACCTTCATCTATATCCATGTATTGGCAGGTACCCAGATCCATAAAGACAACCAGTGGCATTGCATAGTCTGGCACTGTAATCCAGACCAGATGGTGCAATAATTATGGGTTTGGCATTGTTTGTGATTCCAGACCTGAATTGCATTTAAGATCCTGTTGACTGCATTGTTTCTCATTGCTAATTTTGGCAGCATTTCAGAATGTTAAGGCCAAGTAGGAAGTTTTACAACAGCTGTTCTTCATTTACTCTGATTATCTTAGACCAGCATGAATTCCATGCTGGTCTAAACTGGTTTGTGCTGGTTTATACTTATTTGGGGCCTATTGAGCTGGCTAACCAGGATGGTCATTCATCCAAAACATACACATGCTGGTTTTGGTGGTGATCAGCATATTAATTACCGTTGCTGCTAGCAAAACTAGTATCCAAAAGACAACATGCTGGCTATGCTGTTTTTTGCAGCAGGATACTGCACTGATGCTAAAGTTGCTGATGCAGTTTTGAGAAATAGGATGTAAGCTGGGCAGAACGTCAGTAAATAAAACTGAGATTTGATAAGCTGTGTTTTGTTAATCAGTATTCATACAGATTTCCAAATGCCTCATTTTGTGAAACTCTTCTGCTACTAGCAGTGTTTTTAAATGTTCTGTTTTAAGAACAATGCTAGCATCTGTGCCAGTTTTCATTTTCAGTTCTGTCATTGATTTGGTTCTTATATTTAGAGCTCTGCTTGTAGATTGTAGGGATGCACAATGCCATTTGATTCATATCTGTATCAGCAGATAAAAGAGAAAAAGATGGGTAGGATTGGTATTGGACAGATTTTTAGATTTCACAGATATTTCAAACTGATATTTGATGGGGTATTTATTGTACACCAAAAGGCAATGCTGGACTGCTGTGCTAAAGTGTCTGGATTTTATTCATTTTACTGTACTTGTAATACTGAAATAGAAAAATGCTTTATTTCTCCGTAATGTGAATACAGGCAGATAGTTCCAATTTCTACATTTTGTAAATGTTTACGTATCAGCATCATCAGGTATAAAATATATCAGATATCTGCATTATCACCCCACAGTATCCATATTGGTGCATCCTCACAGACCTATTTGTGGCTGATCTCCTTTTTTTTTTTTAACAATATATGCACTTCTGTGGCTGCCATATATGTTATGTAATTCCTGATTACCGCTGAAGCAAAAAGTGTCATTATACCCCCCTAACCCACCCAAATGCACACAGACAATTGTTTCAGTGTCATGCTGTTGTCTAATGCAGCTCTTTAATGGAGAAGCTATTACTAGTTGCCTGAGTTGTTGCCAGAGCTTTGTTTTAAAATTGGTGCTGCACAGTTGTATGGTCTTCCACCATGTCAGGGTATGTAGGCTTGGTTATGTAACCAGTGAAGCTGAAGGTTCAAAAGTTTTTACACTCCAAGTAAAATGCTTTGATGCTTTGTTTGTGCTAATGGTGCTCATATGCTATAATGGAGGGGTTGGAGGCCAATGTGTTCCAATACTAACCATGCAAACAAGTTTGGAATCACTTTTGTTGAGAATGTGCTTCACACATAAAGGAAATATCAATGCTATATTATGGTTAATATTGCTTTTATTAGAAAAATAATGTGTTTTCCATTATTAGCTGTAATTCTTTTCAGAAAAATTGGTTACAAATTGATGTGCAGCATTTTGGAATGAAACTCTTCAAATACTAAATCTAGACACCAGATGGTATAGTTGTAGTTATTTTGAGACAGCAAGAAGTTAAATGATATGCTGTAATTATGCATTTATAGTAATTGATAACTGATCTACCTCAAGTTTTGATCTTTGTGTTTGAAATATGAGGCATTCTGGATGTTAATTTCCTTATAACCTTATTCTCGAATGTCTTCTCAGTCAGTTATGGAATCATCAATAGTTCATCTACATCATACATATCTAAAAAATCTATTTTCACACATTCCTGCTAATTATTTGACAACTATTATTAAATTGAAATCTATTCCACTACATTCCTGAAAACAGTGATTCCAAACTTTTGTATTTTATTTGATTGTTTGCCGTTTTCATGGTTTGCCTACAATGTCTGTAGGTTGAGTTGTCATGATAATTGTGTGATTTGAGGGAGGCTTTTTAATTGCAGAACTAAAGTAGGGCGCGGTTCTGTACAGAGGTTTGCCTGGAGATCATTGGGGAGGGCGTGGCATGGATTTCATTTATTTCCTGTGAATTGAATTGTTCGAAATGTTTACATATTTTGAACTTGCTAGACGCTCTTACTATGTCCAAGTGTCTGGTGGTGGTTTAGTTTGGACTTCCTGCCGAATATACGTGCCTTGTTCACAGACCTATTTGTGGCTGATCTGTCCTCATTTTAACGATTCTAATTTGGCCTGTAAACGAGCTGCACCGCCTTCAGCACAAAATCTCTTTCAAGCCAAAACACGTTTACACACCGCTGCAGTGGAGAGCATTACTTACACGCTGTGATGTTCAGCTCACTTTTGCTGTGTTGTGGGTTTTACGTTCTGTGTCAGTTGGGGTGATATTTGGCGCAAGGGACATCTATAATCTAATTTCGATCTACATTAATCTTCATTTTAATCTGCGTGGCTATGAAAAATCGTGTCGTGTGGAATGTGGCTGCACCGCATTATTGCTGTACGCTGAACCTTACGCTACAGACGTACTGTTGTGATTGACAGGTGGCTTGTCCAATAGTGTTCGCTCTCTCCGACTAATGGCGTTACTCATCGTCCCTGGCCACGCCTCTTGATTTTACCGTTTGAGTCCAGGCTCAGAGGTCTTTATCCTTTGCCGAGGGAGTTCTTGCTGCTGAAAATCGTCCAGGTTGGGGTTAAACTTGTTTAATTGTTCATTTTGTGCTGTATCTTAATCTTTTTGTGCCTTGTGTTTAACAGTTCGCGATTATGGAACAATAACAGTAACGCAAATTTTCTTTAGGTTCGTGTTTCGGTTGGCAAATAAGGACAGGTCTGTTAGCTTCGTGCTCTTAGCTTGGCTTCTCTCTGTAAACAGCTGTATAGAGCGGCTATTGCGCCGTTAGTAGCGGCTCATAAAATCATTCATTAGTAAACGAATGATTTTATAAGCCGTGGATTTGCATCTTGACAGTTTGGTGGAATGTTAGCAGTTGAGTTTTGTAATGCTGAGTTTGAAGGGTGTGGTAGTGTGGGCTGTAAGATATGGGCGTATGCAAACTGTATAAAGTTTCATTGCTTTCACTCACGGCCTTTTTGTACTGATGGGTTTCTCTTCCCGTTTTAATTTCAGTTTAGACTCGCTGTCTGATTAAAGATTCTCCCTCCCCAGTTGAGGCTAAATGCAGTGACTCAAAGCTAATTTGCTAATAAGGTTTTCTCTTCCTTGTTTAATTTGTATGTCGAGCTCACGCTAAATTGAGACTTTTTTTTTCCTCCCATTTTTTCTCAGATGGCGACCCAGTGTGTGACCAAGGTCGAGCTTAGCATATCTTGTAAAAATCTCCTGGATAAAGATGTGGGCTCTAAGTCGGACCCCCTATGCGTCCTTCTGCAGAGTGTGGGCGATGACAAGTGGACGGAGGTAAGAGACCAAGTCTGAGTCTGAGCAGCTTTAACTTTCTTTATTTTTCCCGCACAGCAGGTGCAAAGCAGTGTTTACTCTTTCAGCTGCACTCAGTAATAGTGGAAAAATGGAATATAAACACTAATTATAGACACTGGGAGTCACTGTACAGTTACATATTAAACATTTAAGTTACACACACTACAAAGCAGTGCAAACAGTAGCTGTAATTTTCCTGTTTCTTCTCATGACTTGCTAAACAGCTTTAGTAGATCTGTATTGAGCAGGGAAATCTTTAAAGACCAGTGTCCGGCATCCCAGAGCTAAGCAGTGTTGACTCTGTAGTGGCTAGTCTGTGCCATATTTCAAAGTTTTGACGCAGACTGCTTAGGGCTAGAAACTGCTGTCTCTTAATTTGCCAAGGAAGACAGGAGAATTATAGCCATGACCAATGTGAACCTTTTGCAGACTGATCATTAATACAGATTAAGGAACTTGGACAAAACTAATGGAGAAAATAGTCTAATAGTTTTTTTTTTAAATAGTGCTGTACTAGTTGATATGTTTCAGTTGTATGCCAAATGTTCTGAAAGATTAATAATCAAGGTTTGGCTCATTTGTGCTTTGATTAATTTATTATTATTTTCATTTTACCTATTTATTTCTTATTTTTATTCTTATTTTGGTTTCCTGCAGGTGGACCGCACAGAGAGAGTTAAGAACTGCCAGGATCCAGAGTTCTCTAAGAGGCTATGTATTGACTATCATTTTGAGAAGGTGCAGAAGCTGAAGCTGGCTGTCTATGACATTGACAACAAGTCTGTTGACCTGAATGATGATGACTATTTGGGAGGTTATGAGTGCACCCTTGGCCAGGTATGAACAGTTAAACATGCCACAGGAGCTGTTTGTGTAGCTCATGACAAGTCCTTGTGTGTTTTTATTTTATTTTTATTTTTTTTATTTTTTGTTTGATGCAGTTGGCCCTTAAGCTGTACATACACAGTGCATACACATTCACCTGTATACATGCAGATTGTTGTGGTGTCCATGCCACCAAGAATATTGCTTGCTCTTGCAGTTAAAACTGAGTTTGGATTGGTTGTATCATCTCAGGTGTCCTTATTTCTACTTCTGTCTGTCATAGATTGTGTCAAGTAAGAAGATTACTAACCCCCTTCAACTTAAGAAAGGCAAACCAGCTGGCAAAGGCACAATAACGGTATGTGTTGAAATGCTTATGTTATGCCTATGTAATATTCTTTAATAATAATGTGATACTTTTACTAGAATGATGAGCAACTAAGTTTTTGCTACTTTTGTGATGACTTTTTTTCAGGCCTCGCAGTCCTTAAGCACACTATGGTAATTCACTTGTGGCATTTGCATGTTTTAGTGTGGCATCCTTATCGGTGGGACAGTTAAGGTTCCTCTCTAAAGAAGAGCCTGATGAAGCTGCTGAATTTTATTTACAAATTCTTCCAGTCAAGAGGACTGGTGTTTGCCTGTAGATGCCAATCTAAAGGCAAATATATTGCATTGCATTGCCATGCCTAATAAGTGTTCACCATCGTTCAGTGTCTGATGTAGTTTTCTCATCTTCTCGTTTGAGTCTTGTGTGCTGTGTTTATTGTGAGCAACTTCATTGGTAAAGATGTGTAGTATATTTTTTTAGGGATGCACTGATATGGAATTTCGGTGCCGATAATGATAACTGTTAATTTACGTGTTATCAATAACAGTGACTGATAATTTTACTTTTTTGTGTGTTTAAAATAAGTTTACACTACAGTCTACTATTCAAGTGAGTTGGAGTTTAAAATTAAAAAGCACAACAAGGCACCAAAGAGTTGAATGAATAATCTCAAATGTGTAAGTATATTGATCCTTATCAGAGTAGCCATGTATCCATGCTGCCTATGATGCCTGACTCAGTCACATAACCGGAGTAACTAGAAACAAACTAGAAGCTGTTTTTTTTGTTTGTGTTTTCCTTCTTTTGTTTGCCCCTCCCTTTCATTTCTAACTACAGTTTTACAGCTGGTTTAGCATAGCCTGGGAGCTCTCCTACAACTACCACACCGACAAAAAAAAGTAAATTGTTATTTTAATAATATTTCAGGATCCTGTAGAAACTGTGTCTAATTTGACTGGATCTATAGGTAGTTTACGCTTCACTCGCATGCCCCAGTGGGAACAATTGGTGCTTGTTTTAACAGGTTTTTAAGGGTGATCCTGAGAGTGAGGATTTGAGTACTTGTTTAGTAAAATCAGTGAGTATTTGAAGCCTATAAAGGGCTGCTGTTTGGCCCAACCCTATCTGATAAGCAGTGCAGCACCAGTGCATGCACAAGAAAAAAAACGACATGACAGGTTTTTAGTTGTCATTATCAGCTGCAGTTCCAGTGTTGACTGATAGTAGTCATAATTAAACGTTCCTACTTATCAGTCAATAGTATAATGGTATATTAAATATGTCAAGCACCTGTATGTATTGTATGCATTGTAAGTATTTTTTTTTGTTGTTTTGGGTTTTTTTTTGTTTTGTTTTTTTTTTTTTGCACAGATTGTGGCGGAGGAAGTGAAGGATAACAGAGCCATTGTGCTGGAGGTGGAAGCCAGAAACCTGGACAAGAAGGTAGACTGATGCTCATATCTTATATTAAACATCATTGTAGCTCAAAGTATAAACCCTCTTTCTCTCTTTGGTAGGACTTGTTTGGGAAATCTGATCCTTTCCTTGAGTTCTTCAGGCAAGATGATGATGGCAAATGGCTGCTAGTCCACAGGACAGAGGTGTGTATATATTTCATTTTTTATTAATTTCTTCTTATTGTAATCGTTGTGTTTCTGTGTTGCATTTTAGTGTATTGCCATCTGAGTTTTAATTCCTTTTTTTTCTCTCATGTCATTTAGGTCATTAAGAATAATTTGAATCCATCCTGGAAAAAGTTCACTGTTTCTCTGCATACATTCTGTAGTGGTGACTTAAACAAACCAATCAAGGTATGGGGACCCACAGGAAACCTGTGTGCTTTACAGGGTTGTTATTATTATGCATTTTGTTTCTTATTGTTAATATTGTTTTTAAGCAGATGCTTTTATAAATATTTGGGATCAGTAGATTTTTAATTGGTTTAAATACTGCAGTTCAGCCGTATTTGGAAAAAGAAAATTTGAATAAAGATGTATATAAAGCATTCAAAAGAGCTAGGCTTACTTGGAAGTATACATGTGATGCTTGCTAGTATGATATTGAAGTGAATAGTGTTCGTATAGCTTAACATAATAATAATAATAATAATAATAATAATAATGTATTATTAGTATTATTATTACTATTGTTTTTTTTTACTAGTAGTAGTAGAAGTAGAGGTGATAATAGCAGTAGTAGTAGCAGCCAGATCCTAAATATACTGTTGAAGTTTTACACATGCAATTTACAGTTTGTGTTACATGGAACATTTACACAATTTGTGTTACATACAACATTTGTTTTGCTTAAATAGAATGATTTTGAGTGTGTTAACCTCATTAGTCAGATGCTATGTGTCTCATTGTTAGGTGGCTTGTTATGATAAGGATGAGGACACCAGCTCTGACTTAATAGGAGAGTTCACTTGCACCGCAGCCAATCTGCTGGAGGCAAAGGACCAGGGGGTGAGGAGGAATCAGCCTTTTTACATTCTTCTAAACATCTTCTTTCTGACTTTGTCCCTTTAGGTCCACTGCTCTGACTATGATAGTGATGGCTCACATGATCTGATTGGCGTTTTCCAAACTAATGTGTCCGAGCTTCTGAAAGCAGACAGTGGTTCTGCGGTGAGGCTGTCTTTACTAGCAGCTTGCTTTATTTTTTCCCCTCGTTAACCATCATGTACTGTTCTTTCTTTAGTGTAATTAAAAGCTAAACATTTTGTTATTGTTTTAGGTGGAGTTTGAGTGTATTCATCCAGAGAAGCAGAAGAAGAAAAAGGGCTATAAGAATTCTGGTGTGGTCCGCATTAAATACTGCAAGGTATGTATATCTGCAGTGTGTGTATTTGGTCAGTTTTTGTCATATGTGAGTACAGGTATTGTGCTTGAAAATCCTAGTACCTGGCTCCCAAGTGATGCAACTGCATAAGCATTGGCCCTGTCAATAGATCGCGTGTTTAATGCCACAGCCATCGGTGCCCGGGAATCCAAGAGAGCATAATAGACCATTGTTGTCACATCTGGCTGTGAATAGTAGCGTTATCAAACTTCTGTCTGTGGTTTGACAACAGAGGGTTGCTGGTTTTCAGCCTCCCTCTAAATGATTCAGTCTCAGCACAGCCAATAGGAGAGCATTTGGCAGTCTGGTAGTTTCCTCCAGCATGGATGGAAGACTAGTTTGACTTGAAACACTTGAACTTTGTATTAGGCCCAGGTGATATCTAAAAATATTTAGCACAGTATTTTCTAGTTAAAAAAATTGTGATTATCAATTATATCACACCCCACTAAACAAGTACACATGGTCTGCTGCAGCTTTTTTCTACTTTCTACTTTTTTTTGCTTTCTATTCTATTTTTAGTGTATATGCATTTGTAATATTTAATGAACAACTTTAATAAAACCACATATTAAATGATATAAAATTGAGCAACCCAACATCTAAAAACTGCTTTATCTGTCTTTATAATAGATAGCTGCTCCAGAATAATGGTTGTTTAATTGCAGCGAGTCACACTGAAGTAACTTGAAGTAAAAAGCGTATCAGCACTGATTCCACGAACACAAGCTAAACTTAATGTAAAGTAAAATAAGTAGAAGGTGAAGAGCCGTAAAGCTAGCAGCACAGTATGTAGCAGAGATAACTAACAGCTTCTTATCAGCTCGCTCTCTCCAATTTCACAACATATTTACGAGCTGTTTAACGGTAAATTAGTCCTCCCTAGCTCTCACACAGTTCTTTTCCCAAAACAACAATTATCACCTTTTATGATTGCCATTAGGTTACTCGTCCATCAGCAATAATATCTGATCATCCTATCTAACTTTGTATGACTCTGCCACAGCGTACTGGTTCTGGTAGCAGGTCTGTGCTGCTCAGCCCGCAGGAAATTATGCATTTGAAAGCACATCTGTGATATTTACATGTTCACTGACAACGTAGCTGTGTTCAGATGGTGGAGCGCATTCCGCAAAAAATCCGTGTGTGAACTGCGAGGAATCTGCATGTGATTAGTTTTGAAAAGCTAAGCAGGAGCAGATCTTTATGTTAAACTCCATTTCACACATTCCTAAATACAGACTAAAGAACTAGTACTTATTGCCCTTCATTTTGCGGATGAAGTCCATCAAGGTTTAATTCTTCCTACTTCACTCTTGTGAACATGTAGTAATGTTAGCGAAAGCCATGAACTCCACAACCGGCAAAATGACACAGCATCATATTTCTATGTTAAAATAAACTATTCACCAAGCTACAATGGTGAAGCGTTCTCAAGATTTTTAATCAAGCCTCTGACAGTTTCTAAGATGGTATATAAGCGAATTAATGTGAATTAATATTTATTTTCTAGCTGAGCATTTTTAATCTCAAATGTAAGCAAAACTGTCCTACTGTACAGCCTGCAATGGCTCTCTGGTTCAGTTTTACCCTCCGTCTTTTTTGATGAGTTACCTCGTTAAAAGTGACACGGGATAACTGGAGCTTTTCAGCTGAAGCAGAGACATAGAAATGGTCACCACTGTCATAAACAGTGGTCACAAAATAAAATTTGGGAAACTGCATCACCTAATTTTGTGTTAAATTTGCTTTCTTTTTTTGTTTGTGTGTGCTTGTTCTCTAGCTTTTACCCTTCTTTGTAGTCCATGTGTGTTTATAATGTTTATCCTTTACCCATTAATTGCAGATAGAAGCCCAGTACACATTCCTGGATTATGTGATGGGAGGTTGCCAAATTAATTTCACGGTAAGGAGAATGTACAGGCTAATAGGCTAATAATTGAACTAGGCTAAAATGTACTTGGTGAACATGGATCCAAAATCGAATGCATGTTGGAATTGTCGTGGTTGTGTGTTGTTGGGGTCTGACCAGTTTGAAAATGTACGTTGAGTCAAAAATAACCATTATCGGCTATTGTGAACTATCTATGGTCGAAAATTAAACGACAGTTTAGCTTAGTAATAGTGCTTTACTGACTGGTATGGTTCAGCTGTGCAATATGGTTGTCAGTTCTCAAATGTAACATTACATAAATTCAAGTTAACAGCAGAGACTCTCAAAGTCTCAAAGAATGTAACACGCAGGGGGAGGAGTAATCTGTCTGGATTTGTGCCAACCTTAATGTCACACAAGTTAAGATTTAATATGTGAATTGTGATTGTTGGGGATGGGGATACATTTCACTGACTCTAATCGAGATCAAATGTGTGAATTGTGATTGTTGTAGGTGGGAATAGATTTCACTGGCTCTAATGGAGATCCTCGCTCTTCTGAATCTTTGCACTATCTCAGTCCTAATGGCGTGAACCAGTACCTTACTGCCATCTGGTCTGTGGGCCAGGTGATCCAGGACTATGACGCGTAAGTGCAGGGCTTTAATCCCTCATTGTCCATTTTATCAGCTCCACTTACTATATAGGTGCTCTTTGTAGTTCTACAATTACAGACTGTAGTCCATCTGTTTCTCTGCATACTTTGTTAGCCCCCTTTTACCCTGTTCTTCAGTGGTCAGGACCCCCATGGACCCTCACAGAGCAGGTACTATTTGGGTGGTGGATCATTCTCAGCACTGCAGTAATGCTGATGTGGTGGTGGTGTGTTAGTGTGTGTTTTTTGTGATAGTTTCGGTTGGTGGACTATTCTCAGTCCAGCAGTGACACTGAAGTGTTTAAAAACTCCAGCAGCACTGCTGTGTCTGATCCACGTGTACCAGCACAACACACGCTAACACACCACCACCACGTCAGTGTTACTGTAGTGCTGAGAACGATCCACCACTCAAATAGTACCTGCTCTGTGAGGATCCATGGGGGTCCTGACCACTGAAGAACAGGGTAAAATGTAATGTATGCAGAGCAACAGATGGACTACAGTCTGTAATTGTAGAACTACAAAGTGCACCTATATAGTAAGTGGAGCTGATAAAATGGACAATGAGTGTAGAAACAAGGAGGTGTTCATAATGTTATGCCTGATCTCCACTGTCATATCAAACTTTTTTTTCACCATTGGAAAATGGTAGCTGTCCTTTGCATTTAAGATGTACAGTAAATGGACCAGTAGAAACAGTCAAAAATTAATTGGAATAAAATCTTGTAACATTGAACAAGAGCATTAATATTTAATTAATTAAGCATTGTCTAAGAGTATTATGTTATTTTTTGTTTTTTTGTTTTGTTATTATGGCTTCTCCTCTTATGTTAGGACAGAAACAATTTTTTAAACACTTGCCACTAGGTATAGCTAGGTGGCAGTATGGTTCTTTCAAAGCGGTACTTTTTTTAATCTCTCCCTCTCCATAGGGACAAACTATTTCCTGCTTTTGGATTTGGTGCTCAAGTGCCTCCAGATTTCAAGGTTTGTTTCTTATTTTCATTTTCACAAATTGAAAATGTAATTTGAGCTTCTAAAAATATGGTTTATCTTGTCCCACAGGTGTCACATGAGTTTGCTCTAAACTTCAACCCCAGCAGCCCCTATTGCCAAGGTTAGTTTGTATAAGGGATGGGCTTTCATCCATCTTCTTGCTGTTTGAGTGTGTGCATTTTTAAACAAATCATTTTCAAATATACCATGGATAATATCTTATATTGTTATGAGAAAAAAGGGACAAAAACTCATTTGTTTATATAATGGATCAAGTCTAAGATGTGATTTCTGTCTAGTTATTGATTTAACTTAATGATATTTGTGTTTAGGCATGTAGTTTAATATCCCAGTAGCTGATCTACAGAACCATAACTCACACAGCTTTACACTAATTCTATTTTGAGTATTTTTCATGTAAAACTCTACCTCGATTTGGCCATTTGGCTTAACATGAGATCTAATATAAGCTGCTTATGTCCCTCATATTCTCTGTGATTTTTACATCACGTTAAAACTTATTTTTAAAAAATAACATGCAGTTAGTTTTAATTAATTATAGATGATACACATTTGTTTTTTGTTCCAATACTGAGTTAATTTAGGCTAATACACTGATAAATGAAACAGTATTAACTACTTGCATCTGTTGTGTGTTCATGCAGGAATAGATGGAATTGTGCAGGCGTATCGCATGGCTCTGCCTCAAGTCCGACTCTATGGCCCCACTAACTTCTCCCCTATCATTAACCATGTAGCCCGTATTGCCGCCACAGCTGCTCAACAGCCAAACGCAGCGGTGAGTCTAAAACCCAGCACAGAGCAGTATACAGACATGTTAAACCTTAGCCCAAATGTAGTCTATCAGCAGAGAGACATTTGCTGCCTGAAAATTGTTTTGCACTAAAGGTACAAGGTTTCAACAAACAATGGAAGTGTTGCATTGATAAGTAACCTAAAGTAGCCTTGAGAAGCCTGAGTAAACCTGGTTGAATCAAGTGTGATTATTTTCGCATGCAGTCTACATGATGCTAATTGGTGGTGTATAAGCTTCCTTTACTTGTTCGCTACATTAACCTTGTAGTGCCAGTGCAAAACTAAAGAAGCAAATGTTGGACATTAAGTTACTCACTACATTTGTAAGTAAGCAGAAAATTGCATTACTTTGAAACTGTTTCTTTAACACTTAAGTAACTAAATTGGAGTTCAGGTCTTTTTCTTTGATATTGTGTTGCTAGTAAAGCTCACCCACAGCATATGGTACAATATGAATTACTTTAAAACATTATTGTTTAAATAATCCCATGTCTTCTTTTCTGTCTTTCTCTTTTCGGCTCTCCCTACCTCAGCAATATTTTGTGCTGTTGATCATAACTGATGGAGAGATCACTGATCTGGACCAGACAAAGCAAGCCATAGTGAACAGCTCCAAGCTCCCTATGTCTCTTATCGTAGTAGGTGTCGGAGAAGCTGACTTCAAGGCCATGGAGGTTCTGGACGGTGATAACGGCGTGCTTAAATCTCCGACTGGAGAGCCAGTGGCCAGAGACATTGTTCAGTTCGTGCCTTTCAAAGACTTTATCAACGTATGTTTTTCCCGTTAATTCAAAGACAAAAAATCTATAATTAAGGAGGGGCCAATGTTCATCATATCAGCAATTAAAATATTTACAAAGTATATTACACATATTTGTAAATATTATTATTTATAATATGTTCAAATAAATTGAAAATATTCTAAGTGCCCAGCACACATGGAAATGATCTGTATTTGATAGATTCTCTGTTGAAGCTGCGGTATTTTTTTTTATAACACCAAAAATCAAATACATTTCAAAATAGTTCGAAATTACAACCAGCTCTGCTACTGTTTACCATTTAGAAATTAACCATGTAGAAGTGTCCTGGTTCGTGCCTTGTAGGAACACTGTAGCAGTGATTGTGTCCCTTTTTTTAAAATGATGCAAATACGACACAGTTATTGGAATTATTACTTTTTGAGACTGCATTATCATTAGGTGTTAGATCTCAGTAAAGCAATAACTGTGGTAATTGTCTTACCTCTCCTAATGTTGCGCTTGATTTGACTTAAACACCATAAATTGTATAATTTCTCTCTTTGTTTGATCTCTCATTTTACATCTCTCTCTTTCTGTAATTTTGACTCCCTCCTCAGGCTCCTAGAGAATCTCTGGCCCAGACAGTTCTAGCTGAGGTGCCCAGTCAACTGGTGTCATACTTCAAGATGAGAAATCTCAGCCCAGTTAATCCTCCTGCTCCCACGAAGTAGAGACAGATGTCTTCAGAAGTGGGAATGGCCACTAGAGGGCTTCTAACAGGGAGAAAAATATACATGAAGTCTGGTTTTGTATTATGCTGTTCAGATTTTGCCAATTATGCATGCTATAATAACTTTAACTTTTAGAGGTCATATCTTATAGGTTTATCTTTGGCTGTCTACATCTGTTACCCCTCACCTTTCTGATATTTTACTGTGAGTGCACTGCTTTCTCAGAAGCATTATAACACAATGAAGTTTGAGTGTTGCTTTAAACACTCTAAAATTTAATCATTTAGTGATTGGTTTTTGAGATGTATAACCAAATTATTATAATAGTCAAACAGCCACTTATTTATTGCCAAGATTGGGCTACAAATGACAGTGAATGCAGTACATTTGAAACAGTGAATGCGGTACATTTGCAGTGGAATGACAGAACTATACTTCATTTCATCCCACTGGGCATTCTCCATGTGTGGCTGTTAATAGGCTAAATGCAGAGCAGAGAAATGTGATATTTTAGATTTTCACAGGCATTGCACATCTCTCACTAAATTAGCTTCGCAGTGTTTATTGACATCTTTAGGATAGGACATTGTTCACACATGGGCTTATGTACCATTTAACTATCATTTGTGGCTTAATCAAGATCAGGGACTAAATGCAGTCCAAATCATTAAACCTTCCTTATTTTAATTAAAAGCTCAAAAACCTATAATGGCTTTGAGAAAATGCAGTTGTCAACCTGAATTCAGCAAACATCTGAGTGACTTTTTTGTATCAGCCTGTTACACATCCGTATGGCTTCTGAGCCACCTTTTCATGCAGTGTCAATGTTAAAAATCACCTCATCCCTTAATCGTGTGTTAATTGGGATTGGATTTTGGCCTTTTTATTTTGTGGAAAGCAATTACAACCTTCTGTTTAATAGTAACTTTTTTTGCGCTACTCAGTGAATGATACTGAGAGATTGCAAAGCGACAGTGAGCATATTTCCTGTATCTACTCGAAATCAGATGAGTAATGTTGTTTGACGCAGCAGTTTACAGATACTGGAATTAATGAATTAGAGCAGCTTTTCCTGTTTTCAATGTTGAATGCTGTTACTGTTCTGTGCAAATATTTGTAAGTTAAGTAAGAAAGCGTCTCATTCACAGTGAAACATAAAAAGAAAATCAAGTCTAATTTTAAGAAATTGGGAGTGAAAAATGGTAGATACTGATGTTAAACTCACATTCTTGCATTTTCTATTTCATTTATAGCGTCAGGGAGAGAACATCCTGACATAACGTGTATAAACAGCTAAACAAACTGCTGCCTAAGAGTGATATAGTAGTAGGTAGTCTTCTAAAGAGTCTAACTAAAGATCATGAAATGCCTTATAATAATGCGCTTGAGGTTAAATCATATCAATGGCCACTTTAAACTGGAAAACATGATATTGCAAATAGTTCTCTGCAGTGAAATGCTCTATGTAATTAAAGAATAGCATGTAGATATGCTGATAGCAGCATTAAATTAATCTCAGCATTGACTTGAGATTCATTCCTTTTTTGGTTGTAAAATTGCTGGATGATTTAATAGGTTTCCTGTTCTACAGACCAACGACTTGTGGCCAATATTGCACTTTTTTTTTATTAAAAGTTCAACCAGAACCGATGCTCACTGAATACTATTAACAGTACAATAGTAGACTTTAAGACTTTTGCCAAATATGCAACTGTTTGCACCTTATGTCTTGGAGATAAACTACACTCTGTCAAAGTCTAAATGCAATATTATAGAACTTAACATTACCACATAAAGCCTTATGGGATCATTGCAAAGTGACAATGAAAATATTTCCAGTATCTCTACTGGAAATCAGATGAATAATGTTGTTTGACCAATCAGTTTACAAATACTGTCAGCATTTGCTTCTTCTGTTTTGTTGTTCATCTTTTACACACCACTTTGTAAAGTGCCCTTTATTTTTACAAGTAAAAATTAAATTTCAACTGTGTTGGGTGTTGATTTTTTTTTTGTGTGTGCCTCTTCTGTGCTTCTCAATTTTACATGACCTGCATTATGTTACATACATGGCCTCCCACAGAGGTACGTGTATCAGAATTGAAAGTACCTGTCCACACATCCGTTATATACAGTGCATGCCTAAAAGTTTGTAGACACCTGTTTATCCAATGCTTCTGAAATCAAGGATTTTAGGGAGTTTCATCCCGCTTTTGCTGCAGTAAGGCTTTACACTATAAGTTGGAACATTGCTGTTAGGATTTGATTGCTTTCAGCCTCAAGAGCATTAGTGAGGTCAAGTTAAGTTGTTGGATGATAAGATCTTAAATGCCATTCCAACTCATCCCAAACATTTTGGATGGTGCTCCGTCACTGCAGGGAACACAATTCCACTTCTTTACGGGCCAGTGCCAAGGGGGAACTTTATACTGCTCAAGCTAAAACTCGGCATTGGGAACGTTAACCTTATATCTGGCTGCTCCAGAGAAACCCATTTTAATGTCCATGCTTTTCTGTGAAGATTATACAAGCTGTGTGTGCATAATTGTGTCAGCAAAGAGTGCATCCCAAAGTAGAAAAGTGTCTGGATACTTTTAGATGCACCCGTGTGTGTGTGTGTGTGTGTGTGTGTGTCAAATACTCAGACATTTTTGTTTTTGTTATTTATATACGTCCAGTGCATATATACACTTCACATTTATACGTTTCTCCTTTGACTTTGTACTTACAAATATTAACAAAAAAGTATGTTTTTAAAAGTATAAACAATATGTTTTAGAAAAATTAATTTGATAGAGGAAATAAAGCATTCACACAACAAATTAATAACAGTACTTTGTTGCAAAGCTGTTGTTGGCGGCTACAGCTTTGAGAAATCTGTTAAGAAGTAATTAGTTTTTTTTTGTTTTGTTTTGTTTTTAGCATTTTGGCTCATTTTGTCCCTTTCTTCTCTGCACACCGTCCGCTATTCCCCAAGGTTATGAGGGTCCCTCTGATGGACTCACAATTTCAAAATATTAAAAAGAAAAAATCTTCCATAAATTTTCAGTGTTTGAGAGAAATCTTTCTTGCACCTGTCTGGGACGATTAGTTGTGCTTCTATGAACTCTCTTGCATATTTTCTGATCAATTGTACCAACAGGGATATTTAAGGTATTTGTTGATCTTATATAATGATGTTGGGTGCAATTTATACAATAACACTTTAATTTAGTTATTTACTTGCAGCTTTAACTATTATTATTAAGTATGTTTGTCATTTCTGACTTCTGGTGACCATATAGATATTGTTTCTCCAGAATATCCTGTCTTCTGTTTGAGTCTTCAGGCTTCTGAAAGGCTGGTTCATGATTCCTCAAATTGTATCCATCCATCTTGTCGCTGGTCATGTTCTACCCCTTCTACCTTAAACTTTTCGAAGTATAATGGTCTTTTCCAAAGAATGTGTTCTTCTCACAATATGTCCAATATGTACTTCGAGTTGAGGCTTAATTTGGTCGAGGATCCGTTTGTTCATTTTTTTTGCCGTCCAGGTTACTCTTAAAAGTCTTCGCCAGCACCAAAGTTCAAAAGCATCTACAACTTATATCATATATATATATATATATATATATATATATATATATATGCAAAAGTTTGGGTGCCCCTGGTCAAATTATGTTTTGTGGAAGTGGAAAAAAATAAACATCTTCTACAGAGAACACAATTACTGCTTATTTGAATTTAACACGTTGGGGAAAAAATATATATATAAAATGTGGCCTGTGCAAAAGTTATGGCACACTTTATCCTGTGTTTTATTTTTTTCCCAATATATTAAACCCATCAAATAAACAGATATTTTGCAGTAAAATTAGCAGAAAAATGTATAGCTTTCTGTAGAGGATGCGTTAACTTATTTTCACTTAGGAAATCAACAAAACGTGTAATTCAAACCTTTGCCTATGGTTGTACATATACCTCTTGTTCAGCTCCTTTTTAATGTCTAAAACATTCTATAGTTTATCCTGAAAAGTTCAGGTTGACTCTTATATTGATTTTCTTAGCACTTCCTACCTGTCACATTAGCCTGTGCAAACAGTGGAAACTAAAACTGCACTGCTGCCTGAAGGTGCCTCATTCAGGAGACACACCTGTGCACCTACGCCTGATAGACTGGACAACTGCAACGTTTAAAGTCTTCAACCCATCAGACCATCAGCCTGAGTGGAAATAGCTGTTTCCAAACATTCTCACTGCTGTTCCAAAGTACACTGTGGATTTCTGGAAGCAAAATGTTAACTAGCAGGACATTCAAGGAGGTTTTTCAAGAGTGAAGAAAACAGACTCCAATCACTGAAACATGTCCATTACAGTCCATTTGAAGAGGATATCTAACCTGCCTGGGAAATATGACAGGAAAGTGGAACTTTCTTTTAGGGGTAAGAATGCAAATTTATGAACCATGATTTTGATTTAGGCATACAAAGTAAATGTCAGTTGTTGTGAAGAGTATGTTTTTACACATCAGTTTTGGTACAACGGAATGCTGTTTGTAACTAGGAACTAGGATTTTTTTGTATTGTTTTTAAAAAATTGAAATAAATGGCTATAATATAAAACGACTTTCAGCACCATGGATCCTAACAGTTTCAGACATAAATCAAAAACAATAGTATAGTCCAGTTATATATGAACCAAATGTTTGTCTGATGTCTACATATCTGATTTTAATCCTACTTAAATAATCATTAAAGGGGCTGTTTTTGTTTAAATTAATGTACTTTCCAAAAAGATGAAAAACTTCTTATTTTATAAGCATTTCTTTCATTCTTTCATGTTGATAATTCCTTTAATTTTTTTTTTTACTTTCTTGAACCCTTTGCCTTTTACATGATGTGAACTATGTCATATTTGAAAACCATGTTTATTATCCAGATTTTACACACAAAACCAAGATTCTTCAGTGTGAAAACATCGCCATCTTCAATGAGGTAAGAGGAACCTCACTGCTAGTCAAGTTCAAGGTTGAGGCACTTAAGATTAATGCAGTTTTGATGTGTTTTAAAAAAACCTCTGGGTGACTACAATAACTTCTGATACGTTTATATGAAGTCATTATGTGGGCGTCATCTGTTGTTGTTGCTGTGTTATTTTCATGAAGTCAAACTTTTATATATATATATACATATAAAAGCTTGACTTCATGAAAATAACACAGCAACAACAACAGATGACGCCCACATAATGACTTCATATATATATATATATATATATATATATATATATATATATATATATATATATATATATATATATATATATATATATATATATATGTAGTCCACTTACTACTCATTTTCCCCACTATTTTGCCAATCTTGCCTTTCCTTTTTTCTATTCAGCCCTTTGCTTCTGCAGTCTTTGCACATTTTTATAGATGGGTGAGTCTAAGAGGAAGGATGTTGACCTTAAGTGCCTATTGGTCCACTGTTTTAGTTACAGCTCCTCTTACACTTTGTCACACACACTCAACATAGTGGAAGTGCCGTACCTATCCCCTGCTTCAATACCTGTTTTAACAAACCCTTGTGCACTTGGCCTCGCCATTTCCCCGGCAGCACCTTAAGGGTTTTTCCTTTACTTTATTAGCTCAAATAAAGGGTGTGAGATGAACCTTTAGAGGGGCGAGGGATTGAATGAACACCAGTGTTGACTTCAGCAGCAGAACTTGCCCAGAAGTCTTGCCACCTGATGCAGTTCCCCTTTCAAACCCGAAAATAACGGAAGACAAAACTCTTCATCACTATAAACTACTTTAATAAGCTTAACATTTCTAAACCGTAACATTAGATTTTCTTGGCTTTATGGCTACAAAGTATAACTCCTGTTAGGCATGATTGCTGATGCAACTTCACTTTCCTCTGCTAGCTGGCTTGTTAGCATACTAAGGGGCTACATGGCTAACAAGAGCAAAAAGGCATTTCACCACATATCACCACAGTTCCAGACAAACCAATTACTCACACTCTTTATTAACATTACGCTCAAACTTCTTAAAAACGTTTTGCTTTGCACAGTTTGCATGGCTAGCCATTTAGCTCGCTAAGGCTAACCTGCCAAGGGCGTGTGCGTTCCGTTAGTAACGATCCTCGCTGCCCCCTCTTCCACTTCTGCTGCGAGGAGCCATCATAGATGTGATGCACATCCGAGTGGTGAGTTCTGGTATTGCACTACCGAGAGGTCTGGTATTGCACTAGCATGCCCGATTTTAAAGCACTGTCTTCCATGTTTCATTCAAATTATTAATATAGTAATTGTGCGTGTCTTGTATATTTAAAAACTTAAACACACTGAGTATATACAGTTGTTAGACAAATCTGTACTAAGAGATTTTTCATCCATAGTCATGTTGCAATAAAGGCTTAACTCTATGAAGAGTGCCATGGTTATCCATAGAACCCACTCCATAGAGCACTTTTAAAATTTTCCTGTTCAAACATGAGGAAAATTCCCTTCTGATGATGTATGTAGAAGGAGGGAGGAACCTTTTTTTGGTAGCTACTGCAGAAGGAAGGCACATAGCTAATGTTACTGCTAGGAAGCTGAAAATCTGATTGCAGCTGTATAACTGTCTACAACTGTATTAACTGTATACAGATCATCACTATGATTTGAACTATGATACTGAAAATGAACGAGAACGAATCACTCAAATGACAGAAAGGACTTATCAGTTGTAACAGTTTAAAGAATAGAAACATTATTAGAAAACCATCTGAAATCAGTGCAGGCCTGAGCAACAGTGTAACTTGGCAGCCCGACTGCTTTCCTTTGTACTGCGTTTTAATGGTGTCAGTGTTTAGCTTTTGGCAGGGAGGAGATGTGGTTTCTGTTCACAAACCGCTCCCTCCAAGCTTAGTCATTCCTCAGCCATTTTAACTCACATTTACAGAAACACACTTACAGTTACAACATTTTCACTGCTGTGTCTGCCTGCAGTTAATCT